AGGCCTATATCTACCTCTGGAAGGTTATTAAGGCCTGTATCTACCTCTGGAGGGTTATTAAGGCCCTATATCTACCTCTGGAAGGTTATTAAGGCCTGTATCTACCTCTGGAGGGTTATTAAGGCCCTATATCTACCTCTGGAGGGTTATTAAAGCAATATATCTACCTCTGGAGGGTTATTAAGGCCCTATATCTACCTCTGGAGGGTTATTAAGTCCCTATATCTACCTCTGGAGGGTTATTAAGGCCTATATCTACCTCTGGAAGGTTATTAAAGCCCATATCTACCTCTGGAGGGTTATTAAGGCTTATATCTACCTCTGGAGGGTTATTAAGTCCCTATATCTACCTCTGGAGGGTTATTAAAGCCTATATCTACCTCTGGAGGGTTATTAAGACCAATATTTACCTCTGGAGGGTTATTAAAGCCCATATCTACCTCTGGAGGGTTATTAAAGCCTATATCTACCTCTGGAAGGTTATTAAGACCAATATTTACCTCTGGAGGGTTATTAAAGCCCATATCTACCTCTGGAGGGTTATTAAAGCCCATATCTACCTCTGGAGGGTTATTAAGGCTTATATCTACCTCTGGAGGGTTATTAAGGCCTATATCTACCTCTGGAAGGTTATTAAAGCCCATATCTACCTCTGGAGGGTTATTAAGGCTTATATCTACCTCTGGAGGGTTATTAAGGCCTTATATCTACCTCTGGAGGGTTATTAAGGCTTATATCTACCTCTGGAGGGTTATTAAGGCTTATATCTTCCTCTGGAGGGTTATTAAAGCCTATATCTACCTCTGGAGGGTTATTAAGGCTTATATCTTCCTCTGGAGGGTTATTAAAGCCTTATATCTACCTCTGGAGGGTTATTAAGGCCTTATATCTTCCTCTGGAGGGTTATTAAAGCCTATATCTACCTCTGGAGGGTTATTAAGGCTTATATCTTCCTCTGGAGGGTTATTAAAGCCTATATCTACCTCTGGAGGGTTATTAAGGCTTATATCTACCTCTGGAGGGTTATTAAAGCCTATATCTTCCTCTGGAGGGTTATTAAGGCCTTATATCTACCTCTGGAGGGTTATTAAAGCCTATATCTTCCTCTGGAGGGTTATTAAAGCCCATATCTACCTCTGGAGGGTTATTAAAGCCCATATCTACCTCTGGAGGGTTATTAAGGCTTATATCTACCTCTGGAGGGTTATTAAGGCCCTATATCTACCTCTGGAGGGTTATTAAGGCCCTATATCTACCTCTGGAAGGTTATTAAGGCCCTATATCTACCTCTGGAGGGTTATTAAGTCCCTATATCTACCTCTGGAGGGTTATTAAAGCCTATATCTACCTCTGGAGGGTTATTAAGGCTTATATCTACCTCTGGAGGGTTATTAAGGCCCTATATCTACCTCTGGAAGGTTATTAAGGCCCTATATCTACCTCTGGAGGGTTATTAAGTCCCTATATCTACCTCTGGAAGGTTATTAAAGCCCATATCTACCTCTGGAGGGTTATTAAGGCTTATATCTACCTCTGGAGGGTTATTAAGGCCTTATATCTACCTCTGGAGGGTTATTAAGGCTTATATCTTCCTCTGGAGGGTTATTAAGGCCTTATATCTACCTCTGGAGGGTTATTAAGGCTTATATCTTCCTCTGGAGGGTTATTAAAGCCTATATCTACCTCTGGAAGGTTATTAAGACCAATATTTACCTCTGGAGGGTTATTAAGACCAATATTTACCTCTGGAGGGTTATTAAGGCTTATATCTTCCTCTGGAGGGTTATTAAGGCTTATATCTTCCTCTGGAGGGTTATTAAAGCCTATATCTACCTCTGGAAGGTTATTAAGACCAATATTTACCTCTGGAGGGTTATAAACCTTTAAAAGGTTTATAAGGCCACCACAAAGATTTACTGACCAGATAAGTTTATACTTTAGTCCTGAACCTATATATAGTCCAGTAAGATATATATATATAGTCCATACAGAGACATATATATAGTCCAGTAAGATATATATATATAGTCCATACAGAGACATATATATAGTCCAGTAAGATATATATATATAGTCCATACAGAAACATATATATAGTCCAGTATACTCTCCTGTGTATATTTATACGCTTCATACATTCCTTCAGCCTGAGACAGAAGGAGAAAATCGTATGAAATTAAGGAGACGAAGTTTCGGTCAGTCTAGGGCCCGAAATTCTTAACTCTATTATATATTTACCTTACCTTATATTTACCTATTATATATTTTACTGCTAGTTACCTAGCAGTAAAATAGGTACCTGGGTGTTAGTCAGCTGTCACGGGCTGCTTCCTGGGGGTGGAGGTCTGGTCGAGGACCGGGCCGCGGGGACACTAAAAAGCCCCGAAATCGTCTCAAGATAACCTCAAGATATATTTGTAACGCCGTAGGGCTTCTTGGGGAGCTTATTTAGTAGTTCACACCTGGGGCTCAGTTTCTCAGGCTCGTGAGCACCTGGAGCTCACTTCCTCAGACTCGTGAGCACCTGGGCTCACTTTCTCAGACTCGTGAGCACCTGGGCTCACTTCCTCAGTCTCGTGAGCACCGGGGGTTTACTTCCTTAGACTCTTGAGTACCTGGGGCTCACTTTCTCAGACTCGTGAGCACCTGGGCTCACTTCCTCAGACTCGTGAGCACCGGGGGTTTACTTCCTCAGACTCGTGAGCACCTGGGCTCACTTCCCCCAATCCTCAATGGCTTATGCTTAATAATATCATACAATCCATTACTGAAACAATAATAATATATTCTACTATCCTATATTAGAATATATTATCTAATATTTTGCCAATGTATAAAACATGGTGATAAAGAGGACCCCCTAAGCTACAGACAGGTCCTATTAAAAATTGCATTTAAATAAACGCCGGAATAGAGCCATTAGAGCCATTGGCCTAAACATCCGAAGGACAATCACTTGCACACACAAACAATTCTGTGATTTTTTAATTTCTCAATACTGGTGATTGTATATGGGGTCCCATGACTTAATTGTTGAAAGGCCATCCACTGAAATCCCAGTTTCAGAGATTACATTTACTTCAGTTTCACGAAAACTTAAAAAAAGCAATTTTCTAATGAATGGCTAATTTGTAAATAAGATGAAAGGATGCGATGTGGCCATTTAATGTTAATGGCCGAGAGAGACTTCTTTTCTGAAAGGAAAATGTGGACAACAGTCTGAAAAAAGCTGTGAAATAATGCATAAATCTATGTCCTAAAAAGATTAGTACTGGCATTTTTCCATTACTGTATTATACATCTGTTGTATAGTACCTGCAACTAAAGAAATAAATCATAAGGAATATAATCAAATTCAAAATCATTGAAAAAAATAACATTGACAAAAATTAAATAGCAAGAAAGATTTGAAGCTCTAAACATATCAGTCATTTATTTAGAGATAATATGATATAATTGCAATATTCAGATTTGAAAATAAAACAAAGATTAGGAGAAAGAAAAGAGTAGATAATTTGTGGAACCCAAAAAAATAAGAATATCTAGAGGTCATGGTTGTAAATAACAGCAGAAAACATGCAGAAAACGTAGCAGGAAATACTTTTCTAAACCACAGTTAAGAATGACGTAAATAACCTCCTAGAGAGGGAAAGGGAGGGGACAGGGAAAGGGAGGGGACAGGGAAAGGGAGGGGACAGGGAAAGGGAGGGGACAGGGAAAGGGAGGGGACTGAAACCACTGTGAACTCTGGTAAAATCATTTGTGGCAAGAAAACATGACACTGTGAGCATAACTCTACTGGTAACCATGCAATCTCTGCCACACTCAAGAGTGAAAGGTTTCACTATGCACTCCCTGCTACTCTTAAGAGTGCTAAGTCCCACTATGCACTCACTGCCTTAAGAGGAAAGCCATCGAAAGAAATCTATACTACAAGGATCCCAAGAACCAGAGAAGACAGTGAACAGGAGGCGGGAAAGGAAGAGGAGGAGGATGAGTAGACAGAAGAATAGACGGAGGAGAAGAATCAGGAGGAAGTGGATGAAGATTAGAATCAAAACAATCACCAGATACTCATTCCCACATGAAAACAAATGATAGCAACTTCTACATGTTTTTGCCTGAGAGATATTGCTCAATTGTCCACAAACTGGTTCAATATTTTCAAGGCTCCAAGATGTGTGTCTTATGCGTCTTGAATTTCCATTCAAAGGAAGAACTTGGGTCACACTCTGGGGGGAAGGTGTCAGATGCAGGAAAAAATCTTGGCGTCTTAACCAATGATTAAGAAATAACGTGCAGAGGGAAGTATCTTTATAAAATATTAAGTCATATTTCAATCAACGCCTCGAAAGCTTTAGTATGAATTATCAAACTACTAAATCGAAACATCAATTTATGCACAACATCACTTATATATGTACCCCTTTGTGATGTCACTTGGCATATTTAGAGGCATCAGTTTCAGGAATCAGAAGACTGCAGGATACTCTGAAGCAGGAATCAGATGTTAGTTATTTCCTGACTGAATGTTGATATCTAGATCAGTTATCCCCTTCTATGACATTTTCACATCTCTTGTCCTTCGCTAAAATAAATCCTCTGCGGTTGCTGACATTCACTTGTTTCGTTTCCTACGTCAAAGTTCTGTTTTTTTTGTCATTAGCTCTGAGGAGAACATCCCAATTGGCTGGTAGTGTGGTTATGTGGTGGGACCTCTGCTGTATTAACCATTGTTGTGTGGTTGGTAGGCGTGAGGCCAGCTAGTGTGTGTGTGTGTGTGTGTGTGTGTGTGTGTGTGTGTGTGTGTGTGTGTGTGTGTGTGTGTGTGGGTCGTTTCGTGGGCGGAGGATCTATAAAAAGGCTCAACAAACCGCTTTGGGAAAGAATTGTTGGTGAATGCCTTTTAGGTTAAAGCCACTTTTGTTTAGTTCTTTATAATCGACACTTTAATGAAGACTAGATAAATGTTTTTGTGTGAATTCTATTGCACTTCTCAGGCCTCCTGTTGCACCTCTCAGACCTCCTGTTGCACCTCTCAGGCCTCCTGTTGCTCCTCTCAGACCTCCTGTTGCCCCTCTCAGACCTGTTGCACCTCTCAGACCTCCTGTTGCACCTCTCAGACCTCCTGTTGCACCTCTCAGACCTCCTGTTGCACCTCTCAGGCCTCCTGTTGCTCCTCTCAGGCCTCCTGTTGCACCTCTCAGACCTCCTGTTGCACCTCTCAGGCCTCCTGTTGCTCCTCTCAGACCATCCTGTTGCACCTCTCAGGCCTCCTGTTGCTCCTCTCAGACCATCCTGTTGCACCTCTCAGGCCTCCTGTTGCACCTCTCAGACCTTCCTGTTGCACCTCTCAGACCTCCTGTTGCACCTCTCAGACCTCCTGTTGCACCTCTCAGGCCTCCTGTTGCACCTCTCAGACCTTCCTGTTGCACCTCTCAGACCTCCTGTTGCACCTCTCAGACCTCCTGTTGCACCTCTCAGACCTCCTGTTGCACCTCTCAGACCTTCCTGTTGCACTTCTCAGACCTCCTGTTGCCCCTCTCAGACCTCCTGTTGCACCTCTCAGACCTCCTGTTGCACCTCTCAGGCCTCCTGTTGCTCCTCTCAGACCATCCTGTTGCACTTCTCAGGCCTCCTGTTGCACCTCTCAGATCTCCTGTTGAACCTCTCAGACCTCCTGTTGCACTTCTCAGACCTCCTGTTGCCCCTCTCAGACCTCCTGTTGCACCTCTCAGGCCTCCTGTTGCACCTCTCAGGCCTCCTGTTGCACCTCTCAGACTTCCTGTTGCACCTCTCAGATCTCCTGTTGCACCTCTCAGACCTCCTGTTGCACCTCTCAGACCTCCTGTTGCACCTCTCAGGCCTCCTGTTGAACCTCTCAGACCTCCTGTTGCACCTCTCAGACCTTCCTGTTGCACCTCTCAGACCTTCCTGTTGCACCTCTCAGACCTTCCTGTTGCACCTCTCAGGCCTCCTGTTGCACCTCTCAGGCCTCCTGTTGCACCTCTCAGACCTCCTGTTGCACCTCTCAGGCCTCCTGTTGCACCTCTCAGGCCTCCTGTTGCACCTCTCAGACCTCCTGTTGCACCTCTCAGGCCTCCTGTTGCTCCTCTCAGACCATCCTGTTGCACCTCTCAGGCCTCCTGTTGCACCTCTCAGACCTCCTGTTGCACCTCTCAGGCCTCCTGTTGCACCTCTCAGACCTCCTGTTGCACCTCTCAGGCCTCCTGTTGCACCTCTCAGGCCTCCTGTTGCACCTCTCAGACCTCCTGTTGCACCTCTCAGACCTCCTGTTGCACCTCTCAGGCCTCCTGTTGCACCTCTCAGGCCTCCTGTTGCACCTCTCAGACCTCCTGTTGCACCTCTCAGGCCTCCTGTTGCACCTCTCAGACCTCCTGTTGCACCTCTCAGGCCTCCTGTTGCACCTCTCAGGCCTCCTGTTGCACCTCTCAGGCCTCCTGTTGCACCTCTCAGGCCTCCTGTTGCACCTCTCAGGCCTCCTGTTGCTCCTCTCAGACCATCCTGTTGCACCTCTCAGGCCTCCTGTTGCACCTCTCAGACCTTCCTGTTGCACCTCTCAGACCTCCTGTTGCACCTCTCAGACCTCCTGTTGCACCTCTCAGGCCTCCTGTTGCACCTCTCAGACCCTCCTGTTGCACCTCTCAGACCCTCCTGTTGCACATCTCAGGCCTCCTGGGGGCCTGAGAGACAAAAGGTAGAGAGATGAGGGCGGGGAGGGAGTGAAAGATCGCGAAAAAAGAGCGAATAGAGAACAGACTGAAAGTGTGGAGAATAGAAGTAGAATGAGAAATGAGTCAAAGAAAGGAGGCAAATAGCTATCAGAACTAAAACAATGACATCAGAGGGGGGTAAAGGAGGGAAAGGGGAAGGGGGGGCAAGGGGCAGTAATTTGGGAAAGGGGGAGTTATAGTCATATAGAGGAGATATTCATATAGAGGAGATATGGTATAATTACTCGAGTGTGTCAGAGGCAGAGAAGAGAAGCTCCTCCATCAGCAGCTGTAAGAGGATCACCACTCCCCCCCACACCCTCACCCAGGCCTCGACAATTTGCATTTATATGAAGCCAGTACAAAGCAAATGTCGCCTCGTTTCATTTTAATAGGCAACAGACGATGTTTTGATGCCAGATGTTGCGCGATACCGCGACTCGCTTAAACGAATATACACACACGCGCGGGTCAAAGACCTGCTTCTAATACGACACTTTACTAAATACACAGCAAAATCTTACGAAGGATGAAGGAATATTATGAGAATGTTTTCCTGTGTCGCTATATGTCTGTTGAGGGGTCCAGACGCCCGGGGCTAGCCTTACTCAACTTTGCAGGGGGAACGGTCTGGGGTAAGGGACGGACATAGGACGATTCTCGGACTAGCCTAAGTTATATGCTCTAAGAAATGTTAGCATTTATAGAGACATCCGCAGGGATTTTTCACTGTCATGTGGGAGATATCTGCTGCGATTCCTCAAGATTTTTTAGTGGTCGTAATAACATATTTTCACAGAGACCAATACAGTTATTTAAGTGCTTCGTGATAACCAATTATATATATATATATATATATATATATATATATATATATATATATATATATATATATATATATATATATATATATATATATTAAACATTTTATTGCAGAAATACACTGTCGTTGCACATCATTTCTGTTGACACTCTTTCGTAAAGTATCACGCACCTCTGTGTGTTAGTTGTCGTGTCTCCTGATATGTATCGCACTGGCTCTGCCTCTCACTGGCTCTGCCTCTCTGGCTCTGCCTCTCACTGGCTCTGCCTCTCACTGGCTCTGCTTCTCACTGGCTCTGCCTCTCACTAGCTCTGCCTCTCACTGGCTCTGCCTCTCACTGGCTCTGCCTCTCACTGGCTCTGCCTCTCACTAGCTCTGCCTCTCACTGGCTCTGCCTCTCACTAACTCTGCCTCTCACCAGAGTCTATTCACTAAATCTAAAATTGCGAATTAGTTATAAGGGGGAGCAGAGCTCTTGCAGTTATTTCTGCCTTAAAGTGCTAATATATTTTTAACTGCTGTCTGCCACGTTTATCCCTTTATTTTCTAGTTGCGTTAGGAGTTAGCACGTGCCCAAATGTTTTTCCATTATTCGTTGTGCTTATTCTTGCAATCCAACATGATGTATTCAGTGTCAACCCGCCCCTCGGGGGTATAGTGATTACACTGAGTCCCCAAACACCCCCTCCCGCCCCCTTGTCACGGCACGCGGGTAGTTATAGAGATATTTGTGTTGGTCTGAAAGGATGTTACGGTTTCAAAAATGTTCTGCTTTTAAATTGGCAAGTAAACTAAAATTCTTAGGTTATAACTTTATTGTATGATGTATCGATGGTTTTAAAATATATATTATTAAAAAAACTAGATATCTTAAATATAAACTAATTCACAGAGAAAATTTTCTCTTAAGTTTTTTGTTTATAGAAATCTACTAATATTTTGTCAATTGTTCATTATTTCTCTGGACGTACATATAATGTTAAAGAAACTAATTTTTCCTCCAAGTATCTGAGAACTTTTCGACTTGTTAATCCTCAGTTCTTTGATAAGGAATTTGAAAATATTGATTTTATTGATTTCAAGCTTTGCTATCCAGTAACTTTCTTAGAAGCTTGACAGAAGCTTGATAATGCGTGTTTCAATATATATATATATATATATATATATATATATATATATATATATATATATATATATATATATATGTAACTCCTGTCCCATTTCCCTATCATACCTAGTTTTAAAAGTATGAATAGTATTTGGTTCCACAACCTGTTCCCCAAGTGCATTCCATTTTTGTGAATGTGTCAATGTGTGTGTGTGTGTGTGTGTGTGTGTGTGTGTGTGTGTGTGCGTGTGTGTGTGTGTATATCACGAAAATAAACACGTGATTAAAAATGTGACAGTGCCAGACCACGGGGGAAAATTGGAACAGGAATTTCCTTAAGTACTTTCGTATATTAATACATCTTCAGAAGGAGTGCTTTTCAATTTTCCTCCGTGGTCTGACACTGTCATATATATATATATATATATATATATATATATATATATATATATATATATATATATATATATATATATACATATATAATATATATATATATATATATATATATATATATATATATATATATATATATATATATATATATATATATATATATCTAATGGAACAAATTATAGAAAACTATACCAAAATTATAAACACTTGTACTAAAATATCACGTTTTATATAACTCAATTTATATTATACATATAAGTTTATTACTTGTGTTTCAAACAAGTATTCTCATTTTCATGCCTCTTCTAAAATTATCTATCACATATATATGCATCTCCCATCTACGTATCAGTGATCACCATTGACGAATTACACCAGAAACAAGTCCTAGTTAAAGCAAACATTTCCTACCTAGTTCCAAATCTGGGATTAATGTAAGGATTCCTCAGATTACTCTTATTGATCTGCTAATTCCTCGTTCAGGCTGTTAGAAGTCGTAATGGGTAGCAATATTGCAAAAAATATTTAGAGAGAATGGAGGCTAAGTGCTTAGAGCAGTTCACAGTAGAGATTATAACACGCGGAGGTTTGCAAGATCTTGATATAATGGAGCAATTTGCATGCTGTTTGAGCATCGAGGTGTTCCAGATATTTATTGTGTCTGTGGTACTGTTTGGGCTATGGTGTTGTCAGTGCTGGTCAAGCTGAGGAGTGTGTTGTCAGAGCTGCCCAAGCTGAGGAGTAGTGTTGTCAGTGCAGCCCAAGCTGAGGAGTAGTGTTGTCAGAGCCACACTCTCTCTCTCCACAACACACATACACACATCAACAACAACGTCGGCCTCAAGCTGCGAAAAAATCTCCAATTAACTAATTGCTTTCATAATCTCATTTTATAGTTTTCTCTATAAGTTACAAAAGCTTGGTCTTTTATGTAAGTGTTACCAAATCTTTTGTTTCTGTTTTCAATGTGTTTTTTTCTGTGTTACCAATGGTTAGTCTCTTTTCTAAGAGGTAATTTTGCTAGGTTTGTCTTTTTTAAGCCTTGCCAATGCTTTTTATTTATATATTTCCGCAAATGTTGCTAATGTATGATCCTTTAAATGCTCCTGAAATACACTGGTATTTTTCCCATTAAGCTTTTGCCATTTATTCTTTCAACCTCGTATTTCCTGACCACATTTCCTCTGGTTTAATCTGGAAAACTAATAAGCTTTAACTGCTTCACATGACTCGAGCACTTACCGTAACGAGTGCTGCCGTGACAGCGTCGCTTGTGCTCGGGCCAGAGCATAAACAGTAAGTTTTAATGGCTGCAGATCTGCCGGATGTGAGTGTTTATATGTAGTAATTGCCTGGGTTGTGTGTGTGTTGGTGTATTTTTTTCTCTCCCCTGGTTGATGGGTGGTGGTTGTGGTGGTTAGGTTGTGGTTGAGGTGTCTGTTGTTGGTGGTTTTTGGTGCTGGGGGTGAGTGGTAATTCTGTTAACTATACGGCGTTCTAAGGATGTTTGTGTGTTGGTCAGAGCTGTATAGTCGACTCGAAGGCACGTTCATTAATAATAATGTACTGTGGATTCAATACCTGTATTTTCTCAGGTATATTTATGATTTTGTTTCATGTATTTAGTGTATAATTAGGCCTGGAATAGGCTAGATTACGAATTAACGTTGTTTTGACAATTATTCGTATTTGTGCTGAAGCATTAATTACAGTAGTGCTATTCGAACGGAGCAAGTAAGTGAAGCAGTGCTCGAAAAAAAGTTCGAAGGTCATTGAGTCGTTTGTGAATAGCTTTTGATTTATTAACAAGGGGGGGGGAAGGGTTTAACAGGATTTAGTGAGCATTTGGCCATTGCCTATGAGACGAGCTGCTTTTAGCTATCAAGAAAATATACAACTTAATGAAACTGCAAACGAATCCTATGAGATATGAAGCATTTATTTGCATTTTTTTATTCAAACTAGAACAAAATTAAATACAAAATGTTGAAGCGACTTAACGACGAATATATTTACGAAGTACTTAACAACAAATTTACTATAACTTAAAAAGTAATCACCATCAAACACACTGTGACTTACAAAGTGGTTAACAACTGTCAAAATCCTAAACTACTTACTAAGTGATCAGCAAAGAGCATAAACTGAAACTTACAACGTAATCAACTATCAAAACCCTAAACTTACAAAAGTGATAAAACAAGGAATAAATTCATAACTTAAACCCCCCCCCCAAAAAAAAAAACAATCGATTTCTAAGTGTTCGTAAATTATATTCTAACGATCGTAAGTCTCTCGATATCTTACGAACCTCGCAATTGTGTTTCTCCTCGCACAGAAATAATAAAAATAATATAATGTCATCATAAAAAAATAACAACATTATATTCAATAATTTATTTCAGGCAGTTAACGCAATGTTAACGAGTTTATAATGCAACTTTCTCTTATGTTATAACGAGTCAAGAAGCTTATTAAATAAAACGAAAATAAATAATAGAAAGCTATACTTTCTCTACCGTATACTTCCCCCATGGTCACTACTAGCTAAGTACCAATACCGCACACCTATCAAATGCAAATAAGATACAAAACAAACAGAGTAAGACATAAACAACGTGGTTTGGTCATTATAGACACCCAACTCCACACATTGG